TGATCCACAGACTTTTAGTTAAGCTTTAACCAAAAATGCTCAACTATTCCCTCTAAAATAACAACAACCCCAGGCCATTAAATCCCGCTCACCCGATTTAACGGTGGGTACAGTACACTTGTACGAAAGATTTTCGTTAGGCCGCCGCCATATGTACACCACACCATGCAAGTACTTTAGTCTGATCATGGATTCATCTGTCCAGAGCACTGTGTGCCAAAAGCTTCGAGTTTTCACTTGCCGTTTTTAAAGGTTTTGCACTCAAATATGGAATTTTCTTGGCGATTCTACCATGCTTCTGATTTTCGTGCAAACGTCTTCGAATTGTAGAAGTAGAAAGGGCAGTGTTTCCCTCTTTTAGGAGCTGGGATCGTATTTTAGGAATAGATTCAAACATGTCACTGTCAGAAATTTGTATTATGCCAGTGTAAACCCTTTTGGTAGTAGTTTTCGGACGTCCTGTGCTAGCTTTACAAAGAATTCGCTTCCTTTTCCTATATAATAAGATTATTTTCCAAATCGCGGCTTGGGTTTTGTCGAAAATTCCGCTTTTGGTTCGTTAACCACTTAGATTTCGCCATTTTTTTGTGGGATTAAGTAAGAAATAATATTTTAACAGAAACATGTGGCATATTGCCATTTTCTTAAATCGAAAACTTACCTTTCCAATTAAAAACAGTTTTAAATCTTGTGTTTGTAATAAATTTATAACTATGGATCTGTACCGAAAGAAATAGTTTGAAAAATCTGTGTTTTTTGCAGCGTCTCTATTTATACTATTACGGTTATATATAGTATTAGTAACATATTTGTCAAAAAACCGGGTTACCCTTTCACAGAGTAGACCTACTATTTGGAAACTTATGTAAATAAAAAAAATTAGTATCACAACAGTAGTGAGCACTAAATTGATTATAATGTAAGCGCCTACGTTGACAACTTCATTTTGACACAGTAAATAGTTTGAATAAAAAACGACTTTATTTTTTAAATAAAAAAAATTTGAAAATGGAAGAGAGTGCTCAGATATTTGTAGAGCCTATTACACCCAAAACAAAAAAGGAACTTACTGTCTGGTGCACTTCTAATTCCGTCCATGGGTATGAAAAAAAACAACGGCGAGACGGTCACTGTCACTCTCGGAGAGTTATGATAACCGCCTTTTTGCCTGCAGTTGAAGAATTCAACTTGGACAATATGTGGTTTCAACAAAATGGTTGTGTTGCCTAACACGAGCGAGTTTCGCTTGATAGCGAGAGAAATTTCCCCACCCCGACTATCTCAAAATGCGTGCGTTTTGTCACCATTGAACTTTTGTTGTGAGGCTACGCGAACAACCGTCTTAAGGAGGTTAAACCTTCAACTTTTGTGCACTTGAAAACTCATATTCGTAATATGCCGTTCAAAATGTATCAAAAAGTGGCCAAAAATTACCTCAAACCGATCGAAATTTCCAAAAATTCTCGAGGCGGTTATTTGCATGATGAAGTGTGTCACATACAATGCCAAGGTTCAAACTTTATGATAAAGCAAGGAATTTCATGAAAAAATTATTTTAAACACATTTTATTTACGTTTATTTTTATGGCTAACACTGTAGTTTAGAATTTTTAAATTTATATCTTTCTATATTTTTTATCAAGTAAACAAATCCCAAAAAAGATTTCAATACCATTAACCATCAACATTAAGCCCAATTCAAAAACCAGCATACAAATATAATAACGCTTATTGTTCGTATGTTTCTTATTAATTTCTCCAATATACTCGTATGTACAAAGAACCATTTTCAAATGAAAACCAGTTTAAAACAAGACAAAAGCAGCAGCATCAACACAATTGTTGCAGACATCAGCAGATAAGCATTATTTAACCGGGTAGAGGGAGCCTTCATTACAAACGAACGTCACAAACAAAGCATATCAAAGTAATTTATAAATTTTCTAACGCTTTTGAAATTTAAATTTCCTTAACTGATCGAGAGAAAAGAGAAAAAAGTTAATACATTACAAAGATGTAATGAATATACTTACATACATACACACATACAGGTGTCAATGTATATGGCGTATGAAAACTCATTATAGAAAATTAACTTTTCCCCTTTGTTCCTTCAATTTATGTGTATATATGTACATGTGTAGTTTGTTATATATATTATATATTATATATATATTTATTATATTCTTCATATGATTTCCTTTTAAACTATACATATGTATATACATATTTACACGCTTTTCTTTAGCTGCAATACAATCAAACCGTCAGTCAGTTGGTTACTCCTTACATTGACCCTTTTCCTTGGTGACCTCACTCAAATGTCTATCAACTTTATTAGAGGTATCTAGCATTTACAACAACAACAACAACAAAAATGATAAAAGAAAAAGAAAATCACGAAAATATCCCGCAGCTTACTTAAATATGTATGTATTTGTTTGTATGTAATGAAATCTTTTGTCGATAGCAACACCCTGGACGTTCAACATGAAATTATAAATTATGACCCTATTGAGGTCAACTGCTGGTAAATACTTAGGTCAATGACCTTAAGTTGATTTGTGTACGAGTATGTGTGAGCAAGTAGAAGGATTTACCTGATTCTCTGGGGAAATGTGCGTACTATTGATATCTTTTGAGACAATTGAACTCTTTCGTTGGGTTTCTTTTTTTTTTGACTTTGCGTTTTTCCAACTTTTTCTAAATGTTAAATAGATTTTGAGAAAATTAGTACGGGTGAGCCATGAAACATTTTCGGTTTAAAATTGTTATCAGAAAGACGCTTACAATTTTTTCTATAATTTGACCTGTCCTAAAACGCCTTAACATTCCAGTTAATGATGGTATGCCACCTCATTCATATGACTGACATGGCTGGCCTATAGCCCATAGTAGTCCATTCTGTTCTATCTGTCGACCCAATTTTTACCCATATTTTCCCGTTCCGAATAAGTGAGGGGTTGTTTTGGACAACAGTTCCTTAGTCGTTAGTCCATATGCCGCACCAAACAGACACTCATTGTGGATGCATTGGTTTTTCCATTGTTTTGTGTGCATTTCCTGAATCCCAAATGTAACAGGTTTGCAGAATTACATACCCGCCGAGGTGAGCGAAATGAGTTTCATCGGAAAGTACGATATTTCAATCAAATTACTCATCTTCTTCCAAGCGATCTTCAGCCCATTGAGTGAAGCGAATCGCATTTGATGGCCATGAGGCTCTAGTTTTTGAACCAATTGGACTTTAGACGCCCTCATATCGAGGTCTTTATGCAGAATCTTGAATAAATAAATATTTAATGCCTACAAACGGTGTTGAGTTGATGCCGATGACTGTTTAAGCACACTTTAAGCAACAGCGGCGATATTTTCCCATTATGTATATATGCGAGTTGTCCGATAACTCATCCGTTTGGCGAACTCGCTGCACAAATTGAGACATCCCAGTTGGAGACATTGAGCTTAAATAATACTCCTTATGGCCAGAATGGAACAGTAGAAGGTCACGTAACCTTATCGAGCTACAGTTATAGGTCTTCTTATAAGACATATTCCATTGGACTGGCACGCAGAGGCTTTGGGTACAGTTGCAGACAAAAATACTTCCTTTGCGATAGCTACACACTTTGGATGAGTAGGTTGAAGTCTCCGGAGAAACTTGAGTAAAATAATTTATATGAATTTGGATACTTGTGGAACTAAGAATCGAATCCTGATCTTTCGAATGACAGTACGCTTAGATGACTTGTGATTTTCAAGAAGAAATAAAATGACAAGAATTTAGCTTTATTTAATGGTTTGCCTTTACTTTTCAAAATTGATTTCCAGCAAGTGGCCGTCGCGGCTAGCTAGAACATATTCCTTCCGAGAGTGTCAATTTTCAGCCACCTTCTGCAGCAATTGAGGACGTAAGCCAGCAATAACACGTTTATTCGACAAGTGACTTGACATAACACCACAAAAAAGACAGTCCAGGTGCGTCAAATGGCACGATATTGAATGCCACCCCCCAGTCTCATGACGCGAGCTAATGCGCTCGCTTAAAACTTCCTTAATTAAATTGATCGTTTCGTATCGCATGTATCATCGTCTTGTTCGAATCAAAGATCGTCCACATCGACATTCTCCAACTCGGGTACGAAAAAGTCATTAAGCATGGCTCTATAGCCCTTTCCTCATCGACTGTAACATTATGACAGGCTTGCACTTTTGGAAATATGGACCAATGATTCCCTTTGTCCATAGAGCACTCCAAACAGGGAATTTTTAAGTGTGTAACGTTGTCTCAACAATGACTTGTGTATTATTGTATCAACAACAATCAACAGTCCAAATGCGACAATTTCGTTTAGTAACGTACCTACGCAACCAAAACGGAGCTTCATCGCTGAACAAAATTTCCTTGCTAAAATCGAAACTCGTTTTGGGCTCATTCACCGCACGTGTGACGCGCTTGACGATAGTTCGGCTTCAATTCTTACATGAGTTGGATTTTGTAAGCACGAAAACCAAGATTTTTCCGCAAAATCTTCTATCAAGTGGATGGGAACAGATCCAATTGTTGCGCGCGATGGACTCATTCGGGGCACCTTCGGTATTGTGCTCCACAATAGCTTGCCTGAGAAAGTGCATTACCCTTTCGATTAAACGTGAGACGAAACAGACTCGTGATTGCTAGAATTTCCAACTCTGCTCGACGATTATGTCGACCGATTTGCACGATTTTCAAACCTTGCTCTGTAGTAAGTCTGCTCATTATGAAAAGGCAAACCCAACTGAGTGTAAATCAAGTAACAGCTGTCTGAAATACCAAACGTCTAGAAAAATATTTTTTTATTTTGTAATTTAAGAAAAAATTGTTAGTTTTTAATGTATCAATATTATTTAAAATTTTTTTTTTAATCTTTATTTTTCTTTTTTCGTGATTTCTAGTTTTATATACCGTCATATTTACATTATTACTAATTAATTTTACTCTCTCCTCCTACCATTTCCAGATAGCGCAACCTACGTTGGCAACATACTGAAGATCAAGTCGGTGAAGAAAGAGGATCGTGGCACTTACTACTGCGTCGCTGACAACGGTGTTAGCAAAGGTGATCGTCGTAATATCAATGTTGAAGTCGAATTCGCACCCGTCATCACTGTGCCACGACCACGTTTGGGTCAAGCACTCCAATACGATATGGATTTGGAGTGTCACATTGAAGCCTATCCACCACCGGCTATTGTCTGGCTTAAAGATGATATTCAACTCTCGAACAATCAACATTACAGTATCTCACATTTTGCCACCGCCGATGAATATTCCGATTCGACTTTGCGTGTGATCACGATCGAGAAGCGTCAATATGGCGATTATGTGTGCAAGGCAGTCAATAAGTTGGGACAAGCTGAAGCGCGTGTTAATCTCTTCGAAACAGTGATTCCCGTCTGTCCACCAGCATGCGGGCAAGCATATTATGGTGGCGCTGAACATTTGGCCGCCACATCATTCGTATTTATGACAATGCTTGTTGCGGCGGTGTTTACGAGATAAATGAATAAATGATTTTCAGAAATTGTATTATGCATACATGCATACATAGAGACATACATGCATACATACATATTTATGTATGTATGTATGTATGTAAATATGTATGTGCTAAAGTTTGAACTAAGCGAAATTAATGTGTATGCAGAGTGTTTTGAAGGCGATGCATGCTGGCGGAATGCGTAAAATTAAAAGTGTTTTCAAATTGATAAAAAAAAATTAAGCAAATAGAATTTTGAAAATTTGAATTGAAATTATCAGCGTACATGCACATACAAACAAATACAACATGCAAATATATTGTAGTTAAAGGGAAAATTAAATACATAGATGTTATAATGAATTATTTAACGAAAATAAACCGAAAGACAGAAATGCATTTACAATAAAAAAAAAAAAATATTTAAAGAAAAAAATAATAAAAATTTAAATTAAAATAAAACAACAACAAACAGCACGAGTCTACATACATACATATATTAGCAGTAAAGCGAAAAATGCGAAAAATCATTTATACATACATACATACATACATACGAAATTAAGCATTCCAGCAGTCATACATACATACATAAGTGTGCGTTGTATTGTAGTTAACGTCTTTAACTTTTTAAATTTACACAATTAAAGTCGCAAAACTATCGGTTCATATTCAATAAAAATTTAATTTTTTTTCTGTTTGTTTTTGATTTTTTTTTTTTTTTTTTTAAACTTAACGCTCAATGCCAGTCATTTGTTGTAAAGTAGCGAAAAATTAAATTGAAAAAAAATAAACGTCCATTTTGCTTAAGTTTCCCACAAAAGTATTTCCGAGCGTTTTTATATATATACATATGTACGCATGTAATTATTTCATAGCGCGTATGAAGAGATATTTCCGTAACAGCTGTAACGTAACCCCGTCCGTATTTCTACATAAATACCTTTTACCATTTATTTCCAATCGAAACTCGAATACTACAACTCTCGCTCTCTCTCACTGTTGCGCTCTTTTTTTTTTTGTTCTTTAAAACATCAAAACATCACTCAGTTTTTTTAATTTTATTTTATTTTTTTTATGTTAAATTTTTTTCATTTTATATTTTATTTTTTTATATTTAATTTTTTTTATTATTTTTTTCTTATAAAATTCTACAATTTGCATCACATTTGATCTAAATTGTTGTATATTTAATGCATACATACATACATATATATGGCACATAAAGTGTTTATGTGTTAAAATTTCCCTGTAATACTTTTATATTATTTTAATTTCTAAACATATTTTACAAAAAAAAAAAAAAACTTAAAAATTAGTACATATATTTTGAAAAAAAAATTTAATTTTAACAAAAGTTTAAAATGAAAAACTTTTGTAAAAAATAAATTTCTCCATAAAAATTATTAATATTATATATGTATTTATATGAAGTTAATAAGGAAATGCAAATTATTCACAGAATTTGTAAAATCTAATTTACAACAAAATACCGCTCTGTAAATCATAAGTTCTCTTTTTATAAATACATACATACATACATACATACATACGTACGAGTATATACTATAAGTGAAACGAATAAGTTTTTTTTTATACATTTTAAATAATACATATGTGTGTGTATAACAATTATGTGACTATTGCGAACCCATTTCATATCGGGTGTAAATAATTATAAAAAATAAAAATAAAAATGAAAATAAAATTAAATAAATATAAAAAAATAAAAAACGATTAAACTTACTACATTTAATTAATGCGATTATCAATTTCAATTATAAACGATAAACGAATGTAATAATAATGATATGTAATAATGATAATGTGTGACGAACCAATAGAATAAAAGAGAATTAATTAAAAATAAATACAATCATTATTTATTTATTTATTGAGTTAGGGTCGAGTCTGTATATTGGGTTGCCCAAAAAGTAATTGCGGGTTTTTCATATAGTCGGCGTTGACAAATTTTTTCAACGGCTTGTGACTCTGTAATTGCATTCTTTCTTCTGTCAGTTATCAGCTGTTACTTGTTTAGAAAAAAAGTGCGCGAAATTTTGTTTGACTCCGAGAAGGCCCTTCAGAGGCAGGAAGGTTTTGAAGGTGTTGACTGACTGCTGGTGAATGGCATTTAGTGGCTGTCTGTACGCCGTCCTGTTCAGCGGTTGTTGCACATGTTGCTGGATTACATTCTTCAGGTCTACTACTCCATTTCACATGTGCCTGGTTGGAGGTTTAGCCTCTGTTAGATTTCTGTTTAGGTGCTCCCTACGGTAGCAGCCCAGTAGAAATTGCTTGTACAGCAAAGCATTATACTCTTTACCTCGTAGTATAGCTGCTTCGATGTGTAGGTGATCTTCAAGCAACATCAGAAGGAGTCCTGTCGCGGTTCTAAGGGCTTTAACTTCTTCAACTGCGTCTCGTTCGTCCCCGGTGCCCAGATCGATGGAGTGTAGTTTACGACCGGCCGGCTAATTGCTTTGTTTCTTTGTCTTTTTCGCAGCTGCTGCCGGCTAGCGTTTTGAGGAATTCGTTGCGCTGCTGGTGTATTTGAATCAATTGTTGCCCGGCTGTCGACATATAAATATGTATATGTATTGATATTTTGTTTATGGTTTTCTGCATTACTAGCTATTTGAGTAGCTTCCCTCCGGCGAAAACCTCCGCCTGGAACTCTGTAACTACTGCAGAACTCTGAGTAATAGACTCCGTCGCACACTCCATTAGCCATTTTCGATTCATTCGTTTAGTTGTTACACTTTACACTGGCGAATCGCACGTTGGGGGTAAGTAGTTTATTTTGTATCGCATCCTGCTGCATATCGAACTATATTTTCTATACGAGATTTTGTTACCAGTCGTCTACCCCACCAGAACGCTGTAACAACTCCAATGCAGGAGTCAATTGGATAGGCCCCATATGATATCCGGAATCACCATTTCCTCTACATTCAATTTCTACATAAGTTTGCTGTCCAATTTCTAACTTCACCCAGTTGAGTTTTCTTAGCGTTTACCTGTAAGTTCACTGATGTCGGCCGCCGATGTACGACTCCACGTTACTGACGGTGTCCATGAATCCACAGGATTGGCGAAAAGGCTGTGCCTCTACGAGCTAGCCCGGGCAGTCTGGCTTCCTCTGGCTCGACACACTCTACCTGGGATGCTTCTAGACTAATATTATTTCAACAAACTAGATTTTTTTATCTAAAATAGTTTCTTGACCTAGAAATGCAAGACTCATGAGATCTCGAAAGGTCAGCAGGACGGCTGTTGACAGATCACAACCTATTGGTTTTACAGGCTCGCAAAATGGGTACTAGAGACAGTGACATAGGCAAAAAGTGGAAATCTAGATCTAGGAGCTCAAATTAAATTTAACCTTCTTCTGGAGCCATAAAAAAACCAGCGGGTCTATCTAAGTCGTAGCCGCCTGCCAGCAAACCTAGTTGTTACCCTTGTCTACTCTTCTCCCCCCGGCAGGTTTAGGAAATAAAGTTTGGTTTTTGTTCGACAAGAGCAGACTGTACTTATTTGCTTACTCTGTTGACAAGAATGCTTCCGCATTGAATTTCATGGCTGTCATTGTGGGTTGGCATTGATTATGTTTGCAGGATTGTCTACCACAAACTAAAGTTAAGACTGTTCAGTTTGTCTAACGGTAAGATCGACGGGCTCATACTTAAAGAAAAGGCGTATTCGATGAGTGGGGTTTAGGAGACGCACAAAGAGGCGATTAAAATCTGTTGCGGTCTTTGAGACGGAATTTTTTCAGAATTGGATTTTCTTCAATGGCAACTCTTGATCCATGACCATGACCAAAAGAGATATTACTGCCAGAAACTGAATGACATTTTTTGCAAAATTATATTTTTTAACACATACAAACATACATTTACAACTTAACATTTAATATTAGCACTAAAACCAACTATAAATCACATTTCACAAAAAGTTCTTCATTTGATTGATGCACCGACTGTTGCCATGCGATAATACATGGAGAATTCAGCTTCATAATCCGCATAAGTTTGATTGTTGTAATTTCTTTCAAGCGGTATATAGTGTCGCAGCGGATTTGAAAGTATGAACTCGTATAGTTTTGACAATTTTTGTAGCGTTCGATTGGTATTGATGTTGGTGACATCGATTTTATCCAACATTTCCTCAATTTGTTCGCGGTGTTGTTTAATTTTTTGTTGATAATTTTCGGCATCAACTATTATTGAAATGCAAATAAAAAAAAATTTATATTAATGCCACATATACATGTACATATATATATATACGGATATTTCAAAAACATTATTAGCACTTTTGATGCCTACCAATAATCAAATCTAAATCCAATTTCAAATCAAGCGAATGCTGGGCAATTAAATCCGCCCACTTAATGCGATTACGCACTTCCTGTATAGCCCCTGAAGCGGTCAGTAGACTGCCGGGCGCCAATTGCATTGTAGATGAGAGTTCACGCGATTCCACGATCAATGGATTGGGTGACAAATGGTAAGCACTGTAAGTACAAACAAGCCATAAGGGTTAGATATACATATATGCCAATGTATATGAGTACGTTTATATGTATGCTAGTGAATATGTGAATTAAAATTGCTATACAATCTAAGTGATATCCCACCATTCTTTCGTTATGCAGCTAAACTTTTCAAATGAGATTTCGGCAAAACATGACAATTCACTAGAGTATGGTGGTAAATTGAAACGACCCTCAGTGCTATTACTGCCGGTAGCCGCAGGCATAAGTGTGGTATCCGCACCACCCATACTACGCCTTAATGTACCAGCCATATTTGTTGATGTTGAGTTAAGTGACATAATGGTGGAGTCAAAGTCTAACTTAGTGCTGCAAAAAACCATATCTCCACCGCCCATTTCGAAGCTATCACCACCAATAGTGGAGATATTATTGTTGACTTTTAGTTTAGTAGGTAGGAAATTGGATTTTATGCCCCCTGCAACATTTGGTCCGGCACTGCCGCTGATGATAGAAGACGTTTGTGCATCGTCTAGCATACGTTTTAGCATATTTTTCGAATAGAGTATTTTCTCTTTGATTTGTCCCAGTTGTAGCATTTCATATTGTATACGATTGACGGATGTGTTAATGTCACTATAAACCTGTTTTATGGAACCCAGTATGACCTATTGTCAAATAATTAAATTAAAAAAGATATAAATATTTTTATGCATATATACGTAACTGTACTTGTAATTAAGAATAGAAAAAAACTCTTTTCGTATTACCTCGTGATTTTCCAATTGCCTAGCACCATAATCGATATCAACTTTGTATTGTTCGATTTGCTGGGCGATGAAGTCATTTTGACTTTTTGAAAAATTACGATAATTATACTGTACCAGGTAATCTGAAATGGTATCGTTGATATTTTCATTGGTGTTGGCATTAAACAAATTGACTTTCTTTTCCAACTCGTCTACAAAGGGACCATAAGCTTCGGCGAAACGTTCCTCCAACACTTCACGTTCTTTACGTGCTGACAGATATTTAACTACCATACCCATTAGATCAGCTTTTGTTTGTAATAACTTCATATCAAAGGACGAAAGCGGTTCCTTGTTGCCCACACCGCTGAGAGAATGAGTAGATGATTCTTCATGACTTGATTTGCTTATTAATGACATGATATGCTGCAATTGCTCTTCTTTCATACGCATAATGATATTGAAGAAAATATAGTTTGGTATATTCGAAAAGATTGCACGCATTTTAGTCCATAGCGCATCCTTTGCCTCTTGTATGCTTGTTGCTTTACAGAATTATATTGCAAACATGTTTATATAAAAACAAAAAGATTAATAAATGGCAGACTTGTAGGTAATCATCATTCATGTTTATAAAAAAAATATTAATAAATGGCAGACTTGTAGGTAATCATCAAGAACTTACGACTGTTTGCTTGATTTATGTATAAAGTGTAAAAATCATCGAGATCCCGCAATGCTTGTTTAACTGCATCCATTGCAACAGCCTCGCTGGCATTTTTTGCCGTCAAACGGACTGGCATTGTGGCAGCTATTAAGTGCTTATTTTTCTCTTCCTGCTTTATTTGCTTTCCCAAAGCTGTTGATTTAAAATCTAATATATTCACACGCGATCTTAATGTACTCTGCTTATGCTGTAAACCAATGTGTTGGATGTCTATAAAATAGAAAAAAATAAATAGTATATTCTTTTTATAGTGGTATAATCAATTACTTTTTGTTTTTATATTAATGGCCAGTGCCTCATATTCCTTTCTGTATTCATCCAAACGCATTGTAACATCCTCCTTATGCTTAACGAGTTCTTTTATTTTAAGCAAAATTTGCATTTCTTTAGGTAAATAGTTTCGAGCAGAAGTCTAAAATATATAATAAATAAATTAAAAGTCAATATAAATAGATTTGGCTTTAATATAGGGATTAATATGAACGTTTCCCCTCCCCAAGGCTTAATTTCGCTTTGTGGTTGTGACAGCTCCCCGTTTAATCGCTAAATGAATTCATCTGCATTGGTTTCTTCTAAAGCAATTTTGGTAACCGTTTCCTATATTTTTATGTGAGCGACAATGAAATACTTACCGGCACTACTTGATCTTTAAATTTGTCCAATCTCTTAATAAGTATATTCTCCCGCACTTCCTGCACATCTTGTTGGGATCGTACACGTTTGATTAAATTACAAAACAAATCGCGTTGTCGTGATTTATAAATCCTACACAAAATAAACATACAAAGTTTAACTTAGCAGATTTGGATTCATTAATGAACTTACGATTTTAACGCTTCTTCTGTTGGTATCGCCTCCGGTGGGCAACCTAATTTGGCTGCCCATACCTGAAAGTATTGTATATCTTTTTCCAAAGGCATTAAATGAGTATATTTAATTTCTAATTATTTTCCACAACTTATGTTTTTTAGGTTTAAGCGCTGCGTTTTCCTATTTGAATTTTTGGACTAGATTTATTCATAGGAATTCACAATAGATACGTGCATTCCCCATTCCTATACGTTCTTTGGTTGAGATTTCTCCAAAATGGTCTAACGAAACTTGCATATTTTCACAGTTATGCTTATTAGTTTAAACTTCTGAAACACATTTCATTTATGATTTAGTTAGTTTCCAACTATACTTTGATGGTTTTTCAAACTAAAATAAATAAGAGAATTTGAATACAATTAATCACAAAATGTCCGTATTTTTTCATTGATGTGGCATCTCGAGCTTACACAAACAAATTTTTGACAATTGCGCGCAATTTTTTTATACAACTGACAGCAGAATTCCTTGAATGGACTATTTTATTTAAAACAATCTTTGTGCGTAGATGGGAAATCATAGAATATATTAAATTACGCATAATACGGAATAGCAAATAATAAAATACAATAAACACATTAAATAACGCTATTAAAATGAATCGGATTCAAAAACTCTTTGATCGCCAACAGGGCATTGGTAAGTGCATAATAAATTTCTTATTGTTTTGTTGGTGTAAATGGGCTTAGCGGCTGAAGTGGCGCGACTTGGCTCCAAATCTAAGAAGATTTCGCGGGAAATGCAATCGTTAACTTTTTTGTTGGTAGATGATTAAGTATAAATTAGGTAACAAAGACGCTGTTTTGAGCGGTGCAAAATCGGTCAACTAAATGAATTGTGCTGCGTATGCAAAATAACACTATTCGCTATGGACTTACTTTTAAAAACATAATAACAAAATCTTATATTTTGCAGCTAATGACTACACATATGATTTTGCTTTGCCCAGACTATGTGTGGCGAAAGAAGATAGTTGGAGAGGAATATTACCTTCTACGTATAGTTCAGACTACAATCCAGAACCGCCAATATTTTCAGCAAAATTCGCCAATTGTGATAATTATAGACATATGTTGGCGGTCGCCAATGAAGATGGTAAAATTGCACTACAGGACACCACGAAAAAGAACGAAGAGCTAGAAGAAAGAGCTTTAAATGCGCCTCAGTGTCATTATAATGCAGTTTTTGATTTGGAATGGGCGCCGGGACAGATGAAATTTGTTTCTGCATCCGGTGATCATACAGCGAGTCTGTGGCAGGTTGATGAGCAAGGTGAAATACGTAATATACGCTCATTCGTTGGGCATACACGCTCCGTAAAAACTGCTGCATTTCGAAGGCGTGATCCATCTGTTTTTGCTACAGGCGGGCGTGATGGAGCGATTATCATTTGGGATACCCGTGCTAATTTAAATGTCGATCTAACACCTCGTGCAGATAACTGTATATATAGTGGGCATGTGGGTGGACCGGGTACACCCATGTCTCAAAAAAAGCGTACACGTACACCAAAAATAACACCCAATACCACATCGAGTAGTATCACAGGTCTTGCTTTTCAGGTATGTAATAATATAAAATTTCGTTCTTATATAACATTTTGAATAACTTCAGGATGCCAACACACTTATTTCTTGCGGTGCTGGTGACGGAATTATAAAAGTCTGGGATTTGCGACGCAACTATACGGCATATAAAAAAGAGCCACATCCAAAGCACAGCCTGCCATACGCTGGCTCAAGTACATTTAAAGGATTCACTAATTTGCTAATAGATGAATCAGGTTCTCGGCTTTTCGCTAATTGTATGGATAATACAATATACTCATACAATCTGTGTTCTTATTCGCCGAAACCTTTAGCACGATATAAAGGTCTGTTAAATAGTACATTCTACATAAAATCATGTCTTAGCCCAGATGGAAAGTACTTGTTAAGTGGTAGTAGTGATGAGAGAGCTTACATATGGAATCTTAATTATCCCGACGAACCCTTGGTTGCACTATGCGGCCATACCGTCGAAGTAACGTGTGTGGCGTGGGGATCCACACACGATCGCCCAATTGTGACTTGCAGCGATGATGCACGCCATAAAATATGGCGCATTGGACCTGAACGTCTCACAGATACCGAAAATATGGACTCATATCGTGGACACGCAGAGTATGTACGCAATTTTGGCCGAAAGTCGCAAGGGTCCACACATAAATACAATTTGCGCGACCTTGAAAATACACCACGTTCATTGAAACGTTTAATGGAACAAAATGAACGTACACCCAGCTCAGTCGAAAAAGTGTCTACGAAACGTTCTTTCCTAGAAATGCTTGGTGCAGTCGCAGTCGGAGATGAAAGTGAAGGGCAAGAGCCCAAACGACCAAAACCGCTAGAGTCTCGAGGTAAGTTACGTTGTAATAACAAATTAATAATTAGTCATTATTTATTACAAACGTTTAATTATGCAGGTCGTCGTTTATTTAGTCCATCAACCTCTAGTGCGGCAACCACCACGAATGTATCACCACAAACACGTTGCATTAATTTACAACTTCTGCCTATACCTGAAGAACTCAACACATCACCATCGAGTCCAACAACAAGCCGACCAACAACTCATGCACATAATAACGACAGTAATCAGGAAAATACATTAGAATCTACCTTGCCATATATATCAATGAAATGTGCATACCCGACGATAGCATCCCCGCTTAGTGAACGAGCTGTGATTGAAAATCATAATATCAACTATACTTCACCACCTAATGCGGCAACAACCACAACAAGCACAACGGTGCAACAGCAATCATTAACTTCAATGATTTTCTCGCCCACATCAAACCTGCCCAACTATGTACTCGATGGTGAAGCGCCACATTTAGGTATAATGTCTCCGAAACGTAAACACAAAGAAAAAGTTGACTGGTTAACGAAAATAAGAAAACAAAAACTTATGTCAACGCGTAATGCTACCGTAACTGAGAAAATAACTGAAGACTGTGCTGGCTTGCAATCCCCAATAGCTTCCACGTCGTCCCGACTACATAATTTACGAACATCGGAGGCAAGTCCGCGCCTCTCTGCTGCATCACGACGTCGAATGTCAAGCGGTACACGTGATACTCACGTGCAAGACTCGCCTTCAACATCCAATCAACATCACCCGAAAACACCCACATCGAGTCGTCGTAATAGTGAAACTACAATATTGAGATTCTTTAGCATACGTACCCAACACCAACGTGACGCAACAGAGTCTACTACGTCAGCGTCAGACGCAGCAGAAACACTGAGGGACTTACAACCTCTCCCACAATCGCCTGCCACATCGAATACGCTTGCTATTGCCGATAGAGGCATATTGCATGCGAAAAGTACTACTACATGTAATGAGTAATTTTAGTATATTTAAGCTTAATTTTGATAATTTAAAAATAAATCACTTGCTATATTGGTATTAAGATGAGCTTCGGTTGTGCCTTAACTATTGCATATACCGATCGAAAGAAGTGGTGAAATCGCAGTTATATACTTTTTAAAAAAGTTTTTTATATTATATATAACATATATTATTAGTATAATTTAGTTTTAAGTGCAACAGATGGACTTTTCTTAAGTAAAGTAGAAAGTTACTTAAGACATACCTAAATATGTATAATAAAAATCCTTTATCTAAAATCTTAAAAGCAGTTATTATTAGTAAATGATACGAATTTTTATTAAACTAAAGAAGCCAGCCTTCACTCCGAAAGCTTCTCGCTCACGACTACAAAACTGATTGCATTGAAGAGGAACATACTAAATTACTCAAATGTAATACTTAAAAAAAAAATATTCAATACATCCGAAGATGGAAAAAACCAGCTGGAAAGAAAGTCTATTACTACTATTCCAGCCAAGTCCCAAAACGGTAAAAAACCTTCATTACACTGCATAAGGAATGAGCAACAATTGTGAAAAAAAGAGTTACATGCCGTTTGATGCTTGCACAAAGCCTGCCAATTACATACTTTACAGTTTTTTTGTTTTCAATTACAAAAATCGAAGTTTTTAATTGAAAAATATAAATTGAAAAAAAAAAAGTTTATACAGATAAACAATACATAAAACGAAATTTCAAAAATTTAGTTTTCTTTATTAATATAAAAGAAATAATAACTTTCAAATACATATGTAAATCCATTAATAGTAAAAAAAAAATTCAAATCATATAATCCAATAAATGTTTTTTCAATGTGCAATTAATAAAGAAAAGTATATATATATAATATATATATATATATATATATACATATTCATACATAGTCATATATATGGAATGAGAAAATATATAAATTTTAACTTATTTGCAACAAATGTTTATATAAAAAAGTAACTCTTCTCCAATTATTTGTTAAGAGAAATATAAAAAAAAAAGTAAAAAAGAAATATTTCCTTTATAGGAAGTAAAGCTGTTTTTCCAAAGCGTTACTTGGCAAGCGATGAATGCTTTCCGCTACTAGGAATGCCAATTTGTGTGCATATTGACATACCGCAGGTACACGACAGGTACCGCTCCAATTATAGTACAGATGGGTCATTTTGTATGTAAGCAGTTGTATTCTGTCGGAATTAAATCCCATAGTATCATAAATCACATTATAACTTGTTGGAGAAACTGTGCCTTGGTTTACAGATTGGGATACCAAGAAGAAATCGTAACGTTCTGGCAATGTAATAACATCATCAACAACAGTGCCAGGCGGTGGATTGTCACCATTAACAAAATATCTAGTATTTATTCGCTTTGACACCACAATAAATGCCATTGGGGCAGGTGTTGGTTCACCTGCATTTTTATATATCTCATCCAATTTATTTTTTAAAACTTTAACTTCGGTGTGGAAAACTTGATGCAATTGGCCATCACCTACACCATCACGATAGAATAGAATTTTTCGCGGTAGCATGCCATGCTCATTTCGATATGCTTTCAAAGCAAAAGTCATATTCATAGATATTTCATTTGAAAGCTCCTGACCTTTTAAATGTTGCGTTACTGTAGAGAAGAAACGTGGTTTAGACTTCAAATCCATTGTAGCTACCAATGCTCCGTATGATTTATTTTTTTCTTTTGCTGAATGACACACATCGAAACCAACAGTCATTAGCCCAGTTACGGGAATATCTATTAACCAAGGTGCTCCCAAAAGTTTTGCATTCATTTGTATTGCGATTTTAGTGGCAACAGACATTACGCCCTTATTATCACGAGGAGCAATAGTCCTCAATGTGGCAACCTGAGATGGTACTGGGCGATCAACGCAACATTTTTTCTTCACGCAGCTATATTTTTCTTCATTATTAGAAACTAGAACTACCATTATCAACTGAGGATCTTCAGCGCCTGCCGTGTTTATTGCTGAAGCATATGACCCAACACGATCATCGTTCATTTGATGATACATTGGTGCGGCTATACGCATTCCCAAACCAGCAGCTACTTTTATCAACACGCCTATAAAATTTTGAGTTTCATTTATATTCCTTTTTGGTGTTATCACACACCATCTCCTCATTTCGACACTTTTATACATGTGTTGCTTACGGAAGCTTCCAGTCCAATTTGCGGTTGCGTTACAGTCTTCATATGCGTTTGCAAATAATATTTTACTTTTGGTTAAAATTCGACCGGGCACTTCAACGAGTTGATTATCTAATTCCATATTCCAAGATGTTAACACCTCCATGCTTGCTGTAGTGTTTTTCAAACGACTATTGAATTGCATCAAACGTTGTATACGAGTATTAGGGGTTAAGCGTGTGTGATTGCTCATTGCTTTCATTAATTGAAAATTGTTCCGCATAGCACTCGTAAGGCCTGTTGATCTTGCCAGTTCTGGTATCAGCATTATAAATTCATCCTGCCCACTTCGAATATTTCTTTCGGTAGGGCGTGAAATTAATAGTGGTTGTCTAGCGTCGTTTATTTGAATATTATAGCGATTTTTATAATATTCCATGTATGAAATTTCTCCATTATTAGTTTTAAACTTCGACATTGGCGTAGCATCAAATTCCACGTCATCTATACGGTATGTTTTATTATTGTAATCGGTAAGTACTATAGTTCCAACGACTTCATGTTTAAATGAATTTAATGGGTCCTGCTTTCTTTGACAATCCTGTAAAATTCTATATACAGAATCAGTCCGCATTACCTTATGCGCAATTTCTGCACATAACAATATATCCTGCTCATGCTGACGAATAGATGTGTGATATCCAGGCCATAGTTGAAGAGAGTAATCTCTTATATCGATTAATGCCTGCGGATCGAAAAAACTACGACCAATGAGTTGCAAGCGAAGCCCCTCCATAGCACGACGTAAAATTAAATTTAATACTTGAATCTGTTGTGCATCAGTAACATCTAGTTGTCCAACATATTTCATTTTAATTTGTATTGTTTCACCTTCGCGATTTTTTGTATACAACTCCATAGTTTCCCCTTTTTTCACCAAATGTTTTGTACAGAACATAACGGTACCGTCGAATATGTATCCTCCAAACATGTCCTTGTGATGCGCCAAATAGGCACGTCTTAAGCGCACCATATCAACATCAGGAGCAAAATCAACACGATATTGATGAATAGACCATTCAGGTTTTTTCATAATTCGAAAGTAATTAGTCTTTACAACTACCTTCGTACCGGTAACGCCAGTTTTAGTAACACATGACGCTGGACGAGAAGCGACTATCTCCGTTAGTACGCGTTTTCCACGTACAGCGCCACGAGTATCTTCTCTAACGACGGGAGCATCTCCTGATGGCATTTCTCTATGTGTAGTAGCACGACCTTGCATAACGGGTGCAGCTGCACGTTGTTGTATTGGTGCAGTACTGCAACTTGGCTGCTGAGGAACACCAGAGCCACGAGATACACCTGGCAAGGGCTGTCCCCATGCAAAGGTTGATGGTGGTCGTTGTTGTTGTTGCTGCTGCTGTTGCTGTTGCTGATGACCTCTGGAGGGTCCTGGTGCACCACCAGAAGCACCTGATGCTCCTTGTTGGCCGGGCTGCCCACCTCGTCTGTTACGATTATCGCCACGGGGTTGTTGAGGGTTAGTAGCACGCCCCCTGCCCCTGGAGCGTCCGGCACTTGTTAATTTATCCATTCTTAGGTATTGCCTTTAAATAACAGAGCAAATAGTAACAAAACTGCGAAGAAATAAATGCACGCCAACAGGCTTCTACATTGTAATAGGGTTGCCAAGTTTTGAAGTGATAGCTAGGATTCTTAAATACATCAATTTATGGAGACATACCGCTTTTGACACAATTTGATATTTCAATCAAACTCAGCAAACATATCAAAAACAGACTTTAAACCCAGACATATACTTTGTTTTGTTAAATGAATAGAGAAAATATATTTGACAAATATTATCTTATTAATGTTTTTTAAATAAAGTTAATTGAAATATGTATAAGATATGAGGGTTTTGTCAATCTCTAAGAAGCAAGATGCAGATATTGTTTAAAACATTAGAAATTTTAAAATGAAAAAGGTTTTATAACTGAAAATCACTAATTTACTTAAAAAATAAATAAAATTATTGCTTTAAAATTTTTTAGTGTCAAATATATATATATATATATATATATATATATATATATATATTGTACCTATACATATATATATATATATATTGTACCTATACACATATATATATATATATTGTACCTATACACATATGCAATACGCACTTTGCATATAAATTAGATAGCCAGCCATATTCACAAATGTATCCATATTGAAATAATTAAGAGAAATAGCTGGCAGTCCTTCATCTCCCAAAATGGCGTCTGATATACAGTTCCATTCAATCGTGAACAGTTATGATCACCCGTATATGCGATAACAAATAGTTAATATGTACATAAAATATCAATATTGAAAAAAACTGCTGATGAAGCGAAGTTTTATTTGCCAGTGTTGGTACAACATATATCCGAAAAAAATTTGAAGTTGGAGTGAACTCGACAACATCGTTTCGGAAGTTATGACGTCAGACGACATACTCAACAACATACACTACTCATTTTAATTCTCAAACGCATTTTGCTGTCAAAATTTTTAAATTTAGACGTGTGACGTGTTGAAACTATATATAATTTCAGAAATAAAAATTGTAGAAAGTTCAGAAATGAACTTTCCGGCGGAGCGAAGGCAGAAGTTTCGTATATTATAACGCTATATCTTTGTGAAATATGTTGAAATGCAAGGAAGTAGACAACTTCACCTTCTATAAGTTCACCTTTTTTCTGTAGCTGTGGTGAACGAAATTTGACAGCTCGTAGCGCACATTCTGTTTCCACTTTTTTCACAGCTCTGACAGTGTTGCCATACGTCACGTTACGAAACTTAGGAACGTTATCTACTGTTATATGATAAAATTTAAACTATAATAAATTTATAGCATACGATGAAGTTGATTAATTTCAATATGAAATTAGGATTCAAAAATAAAATAGATTATTTCCCCGACTTATACGAGGAAAGCGGTTGAATGATTTTCCGAATCATCTTTGAAAATACTGCTTATGCTAATACAAATTTCTTCCCAGGCATAAGGCTTTCAACAAATCCAAAAATTACTGATTACTATTACAATAAGAGAATGATAAAACACTTAATTTGAGTTTCGCAAACTTAATTTTTATTCAACATTTCGGCTGTTAATTTATTTAACTTCAAATTTATTTTAATTTACTTTCAATGATTCTATTGCCGCACTTTGTTTAGTTGATTTAAACAAATTTCTACCAACACCAAATAGTAATAGGAAATGGCACAAGTGTAATAAGGCACTGGATAAATCCGTACTTGGATATGTATTCCAACAAAGTTCAATTAAGCCAAGCAAAAGAAGTCTTACACCCAAACTATAATCCGTAGACCATGCGAGGTAAGGTAAAGAATGAAAGTACCAAACGTAGAATTGGTAATGCAAAGAGCGTGCGCAAAACAAGCCAATAAAGTTACAAAAGAAGAATGGAAGTATAGCCAGCTGTGTGCACCTTTCGAAATGTATTGATACTTCTTGTTCGGTTTCTTCAACACAATTAGAATCTTTTATAGGTGCATTAAGCCCGGTACTTTTTTGCAGACTTTTCTCGAACGACTCTAAAAATTTTTGTTGATCAGTAGATAATTCCTCCTCCGCTTCCTGTGTCCTTCGTTCTTTATTACTTTTCCGTTTATTTGCTTCCTTAATACGTTCTTGTTTCAATTCCAAATTTTTCAGTTTTAATTGGGGTTGCAATTGATCTTGTAGTGCTCGCAGACGTACGTAGTTTTTAAAATAAACATACGTGGGCTTTGCAAATATAGTCAAGAGAAGCAGATGAATTATCAAAAGAACTGTGTGGAATATTTGATTTTCAAATACTTCGCGTGGTAAAAACCTGTAATTAACGGTCCATTTATGTTCAAATACACGTCCAAAATTAAAACTGCCTTTTAAGTATGGCACCGGATATGTAACTAAGAAAGGAGATCCCAAAAGTAGCTGCAAACCGCCACATATTGCCAACTGCTTTATAGTTTTCAAGTAGCCCATGTTAATTAAATAAAAGAGTAGCATTGCAGGTGCAAACAGTAAAATGTTCATCTTGACACCGACAGCTATGCTAAAACAAATACTGCCGAAAGTCCAGTATCGATCTAAAAACAAATTTAGTGCGGCATATAAAAACAATATAGCTACTGGATCATTGAACAGTCGTAACACATATATAGAGTGTATTCTATATGATGTAAAAGTACAAAACACGAGCACATATGGTGGGACTTTCCGGCTTTTCGTATACAAACGAAGTACTAGCCATATTTGGATCAGGTATATACATGCAAATATATACTGAGCTAAACGTATATTTTGGCCGCGCGAAGTTACATAGTATAATGCCGAATATATGTAGACAAACGCTCCTGGATATACTAGTGGTCCGGTATCACCTTGAAGAAAAACATATTTTATTATCAATATTGCTATCAACTTTTGTTATGTAATTTAAATTTTCATAACTTTTTGGTAATTTTCTAAAGTAGACATTTTAATATACAATTTAAGACAAATATAAGAAAATACTATACCACACAAAAATTATAAATAGACTGTTACATTTTCGCAATAATTGTGAATAGATTATCAGCTGTGAATAGCTAATGCAAGCAGAAGAAGCAAAAGTTCTGATTGAAGCATGGTCGCTGCTGTTACCGCATAGGTATGTCCCTATCCGAAGGAGCTATTGTGAAAATGATATCGTCAGCCAAATCTATTAATTTGCGTGCAATTCGCCAGTTATCAAATCGTGCCATCAATTACTATGCGGAAGAATGTTTGGCTTTGGGTTCAATGAAACAACGGCGCTTCGCAAGCGGCTTGATAGGACGTGGAAAAACAATGTCGAAATTGTTATTGACAGCAATACCAAATCAGCTGCAGCGATGTGAGATCCATACGAGTAATGTTTTGACGGCCAAAGACTATTATCAAATCTTGGGAGTAGCTAAGAATGCCAATTCGAAAGACATAAAAAAAGCATACTACCAGCTTGCTAAGAAATATCACCCGGACACAAACAAGAGTGATCCAGATGCAGGAAAAAAGTTTCAAGAGGTATCTGAGGCGTACGAAGTTCTTAGTGATGATACTAAGAGACGTGAATATGACACATATGGTCAAACATCTGAAAATATGGGAAGAGCTGGAGGATTTGGGGGGCAGGGCCCGCAAGGTTTTTCACAAAATTGGCATTTCCGATCCACCATTGATCCAGAGGAGTTATTCCGCAAAATATTTGGAGAAGCAAACTTTCGAAGCAATAGTTTTGATGACTTTGCTGATTCGAAATTTGGCTTCGGTGCCGCACAGGAAATTGTAATGGATTTGACATTCGCCCAAGCAGCAAGAGGTGTTAATAAGGATGTAAACGTTAATGTTGTGGATACTTGTGCAAAGTGTAATGGCAGCAAGTGTGAACCTGGTACAAAACCTGGTCGCTGTCAATACTGTAATGGCACAGGAATGGAAACAATTTCGACAGGTCCATTTGTAATGAGATCTACTTGCCGTTATTGCCAAGGTACACGTCAGTATATTAAATATCCTTGTACTGAGTGTGACGGTAAAGGTCAGACAGTACAACGAAAGAAAGTAACAGTACCAGTGCCAGCAGGTATCGAAAACGGTCAAACGGTGCGGATGCAGGTTGGACGTAAAGAGCTTTTCGTAACTTTTCGCGTTGAACCGAGTAAATATTTTAAACGTGAGGGAGCTGATGTTCATACAGAAGCAGCGATATCAATAGCACAGGCTGTTCTTGGCGGTACTATACGGGTACAAGGTGTTTACGAGGATCAATGGATCAACATACCATCCGGTACGTCATCACATCACAAAGTGTTTCTGCGAGGAAAGGGACTGAAACGCGTAAATGCCCATGGTCATGGTGATCATTATATAAATATAAAAATAGATGTACCCAAACATCTTACATCCGAACAAAAGGCGCTGATGGAAGCATACGCAGAGTTGGAAACAGATACACCGGGCCAGATCAATGGAATTACGCGACAAAAAGATAACACGAAAAAGTCTACGTAATTACACATTAACACATTTTATATACATAAATACAAGTTGTTATTTACCAAACATTTTTTGTTGTTACAGAACAGCGGACACCCCGACAACGTTCCTATCGAAAATTAAATCGCTCTTTAGCAGATAATATAAGAGATCGACGCGTGTGTATTCTTGGTAGGGATTAATGAGGACATTTGTGTTAGGAACGACTCGGTCGAACACATATTTGAATGCTTTATCGTTTTAGTTAGTTAATAGACAAACAATACCGAAGTAAAATAAATCATAATATATGTGTATGTATATTAGTCGTAATGAATGAAATATAAGCTGTTTTCTTAATCTGTGAAATGGGTTTAACTGTGAATAAATGGGGTTAATTATATTGTTATTAATAAATAAAATGCTTCTTGTACGAAATTGATAAAAGATGTTTATAAACATTGAATATGGCTTTCATATTTTAAATATATGTAATTACATCCATTTACAACATAATTTTATCTAAGGTCACGACTGCGTTCTACAATATATGTACATATTAGGGAACGCATTGTATTTCTGACTTTTTATAAAAATTCATTAGACATGTGGAAACCGGCTTAGAATAAACTATAGTTCTCTCTCTATTTGTTTATAAAAGCGACAATTATATACATATATCAAAATTAGAAAAAAATCCATTTGCTCTATGCCGGTATTATACATGTATATGGAATTGCATATGTGTGTGAAAACAATATTGTGGAAGTATGCATATATTAAGGCCTTTTTAAGATTAAAAATAGAATAGAACCATGCTACTTTTTAACACAACGATTACTAACCTTTAAGAAGTGAATAGTTTAATGTTCCATTCAGAAATCCTTCGCATTCCTGCATGTAAGCGATCCAGTCTATTTCTGTATAGGGCACCCGCCATATCACCAAAACGTTAAGCAACAGCTCGGCCAGTAAAATGAGTACCGAAACCACAGGCAATGCGGCCGGATTAAATATTAGAAACTTAACATATTCATTGCTTAGATACTTTCTTAAAAAACTTTTGAAGTTATTACGTTTGTTTACAGTTTTATTACTACCCAGTGGGTGGGTTCTACCCTTCAATGGTGGCATTTGTCTCAGCTCAGACTTAACGTTATTGCTTTGTCGTGTCGCTTTTATCAGCTGATTGTGCCCTTCCAAAAAAACTAAAAAAGCTGAAATATATGTGAACTTATAGCCAATTAACACGTAGAAATTTTGTAGAAAGCTGGCATTGTTCAACTAAAGTCTATTGTGAATTCTTTAATGTATGTTCACGCATGCCAGATTTTATTTAATTTTGTTACTTGGTTTTAATAAACTATATTTTTACAGCTTATATATGAGAGAATAGGAGTTACCCTAACGAGTTATGTATATATACATATTATCAGCGGTAACGTAATTAAGAGTACTAAATAAAATTCAATAATTCATTCTGAAGCCGGGTCATTATATCGAAGACTACCGTCCCGTCCCATTTCTTAAAACGATTTGAGATTTATTTCGTCGCTACAATAATAACAGAGAGAAGGAGTGATATTTTATGATCGACTCCAATACTTTTCCTCTCTATTCAATAATACTGTGTCTACGTTTCACATAGCACTGAGTAAAGGGCGCAACAAATTTTTATAACTCTTAGTGATCACCATAAATTAAGTTAGGGACTCAAGAATTTACCTGTGGATAAGGCATCCTTTCCGTAAGAGGCGACTAAAACGCAACGGTTTCCGGGACAGTCGGGGCTTTATACCGGAAGGACTCGAATTTTTATCCGACTAAGGACTGCCACTCTCGCAATATAATTCGTCCATTGTCAATGACAACCAGGGCAAATTTGACTTCTTTATTATCGTAGGTACAGCTTACACGGTTACATCTGAATCAGCAATATCATTCCTTTGTTTCGTTGTTTGGCACAAATAGAATGTAAGTCTGGTCCTTCAGTGCTTCTACTACCTGGCACCGAATTGAATACCTTGAAAACTGATCTACTTTCATCTTACCGATAGCATGACTTAGGTAACGTATATAACTTCGCTGAGTTACGTCTACGTCTTCGTATATCTCGTACAGTTTTTTGATCAATCATCCGCTTCATTCGGGGTCATTACTAAGTAAAGCTCCATAAATCGTGAATAAAACCTTTGTGACGAAAATTCTTATGCTGACTCGCCGGATACCGACACACACTTCTGGAATATATAGCAGAGCTTTGCCTTTGTATATCAAGAGAGCAATTTCCTTTCCAATTATCTGCTCTGGTATTGAGGATTATTGGCGAAGTTCTTCATCATTCTGTTGAGCTTCAATTGGGTAATCGGTGTTCGAACTTAGCCATAGTCAAGTAAAAGAACGTCTATATCATCAACCCCGATTATGTTGTACTTTAACTGTCATTTAGCAGGCAGGAGAAGTATTAATTCATTAACTCATTAATTCTTACATGATTTTACTCCGGTCTAGAAGAATGTTGTAAGACCCCGCATGTTTTTTATAGAATCTTTCAGCCTTCCTAGTGGGCCATATTCTCAAGCTTTTCATACTTATGCCTTTCGGGATCTTTCTTTTTTTGTTTGCTCTCATTACCTTCCTTACTCCGCACATGTTGTGATGGATCGCAACGTTGCAGTTCAAAAGTTCATACTCTGTTTCCGTCCGTTTTCTAATTGCGGTCGCCTCTTGGTAGGGAATGTCAACCCCTCTGAGTGTATTTCTGACACTCATCTATACTCCTCATAAAAGAAACCATCAGCCGTTCGGAGGCGGCTTAGTATAAACTGTAAGTCTCTTCATTTGTGGGGAAAAAAAATATGCAAAAACCACAAAATTGAAGGAGGAGCTCGGCGGAAAAACGCTCCAGCGGTTACAACGTGCCAATTATATATGTATGTATCTACCCTTATAGCGAAGACGTCGCCTCAAGTGGTTACCACCTGTTTCTGCCTATAGCGGATGATTTTCCTGAAATGACAGAAACTGATCGTGCAAAACGTTACACATTTAACATAAATCGGGTAAATCTAAGAGCGGTTTTCACCATATCCGGTTAAGCACTTAATCATAACTTAATCGAAAGGTATCTTAAAGTTCGTTTTCACAATGCCCAGTTAAGGCGCACCAACTAAGTTGCGCTTAACTTAACTCCAACATTGAGGGTGATTTGAGTAATTCGAAAGGGGCAGGGAAATTGAAAGCACCGAATAGCGAAGTTTCCAAAGGCGTTGGGGCGTTTAGAATGCACTTATGTAAGTCAGAATTCAATCACATGGAGAAGAAAATGACGAAAGTTTTCGAAGCAGAAAAGGGTACTTGTAAAATGGAAGTAATTGACTTTGTATGGAGGAGACGTGGTTCTGGACATGAAACACCGGTTTGAGCGAAATTGCAGATCGAGGAGCTATAGATTGAGAGTTTCGCTCAGCACAACTATGAGCTTCAATGTTTCCTGTAGAGCGTTGCCCAATATTACTATCGAGAATGACTCTAATTTGGATGACGTAGAAGTTCGAGCGAGTGAACCATCAGAAACACCTGTTGATGCGCACGAAGACATAGCTGAGGTGCAAAAAAACCATATATACATACATTATATTACATACATTTTATACATGTAATTTAAAACCACCAAAGTCCTTTTTCCAAAATAAAAATATATGAAACAAATTTCATTAAATTTAAATTAATTTCCATGGCTACAAAATCAATTTTAAAAAAATAAAAGGGAAAACAGAAGATCTTAAGTATACTCAACCATATCGTGTGGAAAAATGTTAGCAAATACCAGCTGACATGCAGTTTTGATGTATACTCACATCACAATTTTTTGTGAATTTACCAAAAAAATTCACAAGATCAAACTAACCGGAAGTTAAGTAACCAGACTTTGGAGAAAACGAAAATGTCATATCAGTCTATCTTTTTTTTATACAGAATTCATTTATAATATTTTCTACATAATATAATTTATAATATATTCTGCTACAATATAAGCCTAACAGTAAGAGTACAAATCTTAAAAGCTAAATTACAAACATGATAGCTCGAGTTATTTAACTCTGAGCCCTTTTCAAACTACGGCGCTCTCCTTAGAAGGCGGGAACATCTCTACGTTGCAGGCGGGAATTTCTCGATGGGTTGCATAAAGCATTAGCTAGCGGATTCCTTAGCTTTGTGAAGTACTTCGTCCTGCTTCTTTCAATTTCAGGCTTAACCAATAAAATACCAAGGTCAGTCTATCTGTCAATTAGCTCTCCTCCGGTTAAATGTTAAGTTAATCGGACATTTTGAAAACGGGCCTAAGTATGATAAATGAAGCCTTCAACTTGAAGCGAAATTTATTGTTTTCGTCCACACTCTAGTGGCAACCCACTTAACGTCGCCTGCTATTAAAAAAATATTATTTACAGGCCTATTCTGTTGAGGAAATAAAATTTACTTTGGTATTAACACTTACCGTTCAGTAAATTTTGTTACCATTTTGTATTCTGAGCTCACTGTTACCCTGTAAATTTTGTTACCTGCGAAATAGGAGGTAAAATATCTGCTGTTCGGTTTTGTGTTGTTAGTTTGAGAAAAAATAAAAACCGAAAAAGGTGGGAATTTTTTATGCCTGGAATTCATTGAAGATGAAGAAAAAAGTGTAAAAATGCGTGAATTAAGAAGTTTGTGAGAAAAAAATTACGCTTTTAATTAGAAGATTGCGTTTTCACTCAGCTGTTTTTTGTTGTTAAGGCATATTTTCAATTATTATGTTCAAATATTTATGATTTAATAAACGTATAAATAAAACTTATTTATTTTGTTGCGCACCGTCTTCCATTTCGATGTGAATATTTTTGTTTTTACTTTACCAACTAGCAAATGTAATTTGACAAGGGCGAAAAAAGCAGTGCTGCCAAAGTTTTTTCAAATACTGTAACCAGTGCGCCAGAATACCAAATTCAATTTCGGGTGTTAAAAAAAAAGGTAACAAAGTTTACCGGTAACAGTCAGAATAGGGATGTTAGTAGAAGACAGCGATCGTTTGTAGTTTTGTCGCCGTGCTGTGTCGTGCCGCTTCAGATATAATTCGTCATAAGAGCAGTTGTGTGCGGTGTGTGTTTTGGCAGTTGCCGCTTGTTGTATCGTCGTAGCCAATGTGTTTAATGCTTAACTACATGCATATATATGTATGTATGTATGTATGTATGTCTCAAGCCGAAGGAAAAAAGAAATTAGTAATTAAATTACATAAATTATCCATTTTTTTAATATAAATGTTTGTGTGTATTTGTGCACGGACCGGTGTGATAAACGTGATAATTTCCAAGTAAATATTTCTATGTCATGAGAAAATATTGCGACTACGCGTACTTACATGCATACTAACTTTGTATATATATATGCATGTATGTGTATAAAAACATACATATATGTATGTATGTATTTGTCTTGCAATTTACTCTATTGACACTTATTTTCTCATGAGTAGTTCATATTTAACTATTAATAGTAGTAACCATTATTCCATGTATATAAGTATATGTGTACATATGTATATACATATGTCCATATGCTCGTAGCGTGATCTTATAGTCAATTAAATCACAACAAGCATATCGTATACATATATAAATAAATAAATAAATAAATAACTAGTTGCCACGTCACAAAGGAGGGCAACTACAGTTATTTATTATACATATTTAATAGTTTTTTCTTTACTTGACAAACCTCGACTTGGAAAACAATCATTGGTGGTGCGAATTTTTACACTCTTCTAAAATTAAATGTACACACGAGTAAATACAGTTTAATTCAGCTTCGCCTTGAATCGACTGTTTTGAGCTTCCTCCTACCTCGACTTTTGAGGAGCAGATCCTATTGTAGACATGAAGGCCACAGGAGCTACTTTGGACTGAGTAGGAAATTGTAGAGGAATGTAAGGTTGACAATGACAGAATAGCGCTGACGATGGATTGATGAGCTGTATGAGCGTATACGACGACATTGATATGGTTTAGCGAATAAAGAGGCAGCGAATAAGGAGACTGCGACTCTGCTGGCTAGGTCATGTCGCATGAGTGGTTGAAAGATGAAGCAGAGGAAGAGAAGAGATTAGGTCGAAAAATATCTTGCTTGATGTGCGAAAAGAAGGAATGACTGGCGTCCTACTGTTGATTGTCGAAGCA